TGTCTGTGCCCTGTTACCCCTCAGGGGCTTGCTTTCTTTCCTCGAGCTGCCTCTCTACTTGGGGGTGTGTCCGTGTAACGATGTCTCCAGCTCTGTGAGGTAGTAGGCACAGTGCTTGGCTTCGGTGGCTGCTGTGATGCTGTGCAAAGAGTTGGGGTGTATTCAGAGCTCTTTTCAGGAAGATAAACTGTTCTCTGGCTTTCAGGATAGCTGTGTGTCACGTTGTATTGGTGCCATAAATAAAGTGTGTCGATGGTAGGTATACTTAAAGACAAAAATAGCCTTATTTCCTCCTCTGAACGCCTTTCTGGGGTCTTTGAGCCTACCTTGTGCTCACCCTATCCTCAACCCGTTTCCTCATACTCTTCCCCAGGCAAGTGAGTAAGCCATAGGCTTCCCCGTGATGACCTGCCTGGTGACACCGCAGGTGAAATGCACTTGTGCTGCCCAGGGATTTCAACATGGTGGTGCTGCTGGTGGGTTAAGGCATGTTGTGAATCAAGCTGTGCTTCCTTAATTGCTTTGTTCCCTTTAATAATGATTATATTGTAGCTAAGGCAGGGGTGGGGTTAATCCAGTGGGGTGTTGCCCCTCTGGGACATGCTCTGGCAGCTTGGATGTTTCCAGGTGGGGCTCACTCACCCTCCTTCAGGGCATGTCCTCAGGTGGGGAGTTGATTTTTGGGGTGGTGGCAGCAGCAAAGTCACCACTCCTAAGGGGGGAGAGGGGAAGGGATTGATGTGAGGTGATAGAGCAAATTGGGACAAGTGATGCATGACCCCATCTGGCAGCTGCCTGAGGGTCCCTGTGGGGCTCAGTGCTGCTCAATCTTGGGCTTTTTCCTTTGCGATTTCACTGTGGAGGGGCCAGCCGGTGGCTCCCGCTTGGTGTCTGTAGGAGAGGAAGGCAATGTGGTGGCGGCAGGGCTGCAGGGAAAGCTTGGTGCCTCTCGGGGGATTATTACCTTTCTGGGCACGGGCCGCCTTCATGCGCCCCAGGTTCCTCTTGCTTGCTACTCCGTGTTCCACAATGGGCTGGGGGTAGTGGGTGCCCACCAGGCAGCCTGCCCGCTCCTGCACAGCCTGTGGTGCCTTCCAGGGCTCGTAGATGTACTTGGTGGGGAAATCCTTAAGGATGGGAAGGTATTTCCTGTGGCGAGGGGTGAAAGTCACCAGGGAGGCCACCCCTCATTTTGTGTGGCTTTGGGTTTTGCGCCTACCGAATATACGCCCCGTCCTGGTCTGTCTTCTTGCCGAAGGTGATGGGCGAGTAGACATGGAAATATCGGTGGAAGAAGGCGCTGCCCGATAGCCACAGCCAGTTCCCAGGGTTGGG